GACCTAGAAACACCTAGAAAGGCCAGGAACATCAGTTCTGGACCGCTCTAGTAGCACAGCCACAGAACAAAACCAGAACAAAGGTAAACTGTGGGAATAGACCCCAGTTATGGGAATAGAACATCCTAATATAGAAGTTTGATTTGGCCAGAATATTCTAAAATGCACAGCCACAATGACTCCAACTGAGTCATACTGACTCCAACTGAGTCATAGTGTTTCTTTGTCATATCATTAGTTATTTTTCTGAGTAGTATATAAGGAGGTCACATGTAGTAGATGGAATAATAGTGAACACCCTAGGAAACTACTAGTTGTGACGCTACCACTGTCACACTAGTTAGTTTTGCTGTGGGTATCAACCTTAAACAGTGATTTATCTCAGAAGACTGTTAATTGTGGCAGTGGTGTCACATTAGTGGTTTTGCTGAGGTTACCAACCTTCAGCGATCCTGTGTATGGTAAGACACAGTTATAGTGAATTTGTGCATAGTAAGGCACAACCAGTGAATTTGTCTATTAGTAAACCCTGTGCATAGTAAGGCACATCTTAGTAAACCTGTGCATAGCAAGGCACAACCATAGTAAGCCCCAAGTAGATTGGCTACAGTAACAGTCAGTTTGCTTACCTAGTAGTTGAGTATTGGTACTCTTCTGCTAAAACCTGAACACAAACACACACATATTTTGGATTTGATTTAGTTGGTTAGATTTGATATTTAGCTACCTAGCTCATTTCCTCCGTGTATTAGCAATGACTGTCAAAAACCGGTACCCCCTTCCACTGATCAACGACCTCATCAACCGGCTCAAAGGCGCTCATTACTTCACTAAACTTGACGTCTGTTGGCGCTTCAACAATATCCAGATCAAAGAAGGTGACAAGTGGAAAGCGGCTTTCCGGACTAACTGAGGCCTGTTCGAGCCCTTGGTGATGTATTTCGGCCTGACAAACTCCCCTGCGACGTTCCAAACGATGATGAATGACATTTTGCAGGACCTCATCCTTTCCGGAGACATCATGATCTACCTCAACAATATCCTAATCGCCCATTCCGACCTCCGGAAACATCGGCACACGACTTTGAAAAATCGTCAATCGAATACCTTGGAGTCATCATCTCCCACAACCATGTTGAAATGGACCCTGTCAAGGTTGCAGGCGTCTCCGCTTGGCCGACTCCGGAAAACAAGAAGGATGTTCAGCAGTTCCTTGGGTTCGCTAATTTCTACCGCAGGTTAATTCGGGACTTCTCGGCCCTCGCACGTCCTCTCTTTGCACTCACCAAGAAGGACCAGCAGTAGACTTGGGGCGATGCAGAGGCCTTTTGCGTTCCAAGCGATCAAGGACGCGGCCACCTCGGAACCGCTTTTAGCGATTCCGGATGACCCTCAGACCGAGGGTCAAACAGAGCGCGTCAATCAGGAGTTGGAGCAGTACCTGCGGATCTTCACCAACTATCAGCAGGACGGCTGGGACAAGCTGATTCCAGCTGCAGAGTTTGCTTATAACAACCACGCTCACTCCTCTACGCAGCAGGTCCCCTTCATGACGGACACGGGACGGCTCCCACGTATGGGCTTCCCTCTCGGCCCGTTCAAGATAGTCGCGGAGATTAGCAAAGGTGCCTACAAGCTCGACCTCCCTCCGAGTTACTCGAAGCTCTACCTGGTCTTCCCGGTCGTCAAGCTCGAGCTTGCCCAAGACGACCCTTTCAATGGACGCCCCGGCTACGACCAGCCCCCTCCGGACCTCGAGGACAGAGTCCCGGAGCGGGAAGTAGAGGAAATCCTGGATGCAAGGGTGAGGTATAAACGGCTGAATTACTTTGTCAGATGGAAAGGCTATGATGCGTCGCACGACCAGTGGGTCCGCTTCGACCATGTCTTTCCCCTGGAGAAAATTGTGGTTTGACAAAGAAGACCGGAGACGCCATTGGACACTTGGAGGGGCGAATCCGACCTGTCGATAGCCCTTCCTCGATGAATGTGTCAAGCTCGCGTTGCTCAAGGGGCGAGATGGGGTACACCTTGCAGTTGGTGGGCTTAGCGTTGGGGACAAGTTCGATGGCGTGGTCTGAGGTCCTCCGCTCCAGTAGCGTGTCGAAGGACTCCTTGTTGAAGACGTCCTGAAACTCCTTAGCCCAGTCCGGGATATCAGAGGGCAGAGGGGCGGAGTTCCTAGTAAAGGCTCCGGCCAGACATTGTGAGACGGTACTGCCAGCACATTTCTGCCAGGGCAGCCTTGGACCTTTGTAAGATGGTCGAGAAGCGCATGTCAGTGCTTAGACTCTTTCCGCTTGTTTTGTGTTCTAATTAATTGGCCTATGACTCCCTTGTGACAATTCAAAGGTGTGCAGTCAGATATTATTCAAAAGGCGGAGGGAAATCAATTCGTGAGTTGATAACGTCTGACATGATTCATCTGCTCACTATCATGCAGCCTTGGTATCGCTATTTCGACTTGGTAAGTTCATCATAACTACTTTACGCTATTCTATTCTTATCGAATGGCAGACACCACTGGAAATTGGAGAGCTCATCGGTATCCCTAATGCGGGTTGACTCATACATCGACTTATGCATAACTTCCCAACCAAGTTTTCTATATTTGATCTATAATCAACGACCAGATCATCACTGTATTGCCAATATGATGTGTAGCAGTATTCATCATTATAATAGAGAATAACAAAAATTTTTCTATGTATACAACATGTTATGAGGAGTATAATCTCATAGGGGATGTCACAGTTCGGGACCGACGCCCCCACCGCACTCTGCAAGTTCCCTATTCTTCCAACCCCTTCCCTTCATCCCTGTGGGCCCTATGCAGTGCCTATTCCATTCGATAAGAATAGAATAGCTTACAGTAGGTATGATGAACTTACCAAGCTGAAATAGCGATACCAAGGCTGCATGATAGTGAGCAGATAAATCACGTTAGACGTTATCAACTCACGAAATGATTTCCCTCTGCCTTTTCAATAATATCTGACTGCACACCTTTGAATTGTCGCAAGGGAGTCATGAAGCCCCACCTAGCCAATTAATTAGCACACAAAACAAGTGGAAAGAATCTAAGCACTGACATGCGCTTTTCAACCATCTTACAAAGGTCCAAGGCTGCACTGGCAGGAACAGCCCAACCGAGCTTCAAACACATTTTGAACATGGCACACAATATACTTCGCAGAAATCAGACTTAGTTTGGATGTACCAACCTCCCTGCAGATTGTTGCACAAAAACCATATCCGCAACGAGTACAAAGCCTACTATGTCAAATATCAGTATCATGATCGCGTGTCCCGCAAATGTTTTTTTTTTTTTTTGCTTACTGTCTAGGATCAAATCCAATATGTACGCCTGCAAAAGAATGTTAATCTTTGCAGCAGGCACTTCGACACTTTCTTTGACAGGAATCGGGACCCTCTCGAGAAGTTTTCCTAGCTCCAGCTTTTCCCCTTGTTAAATGGGATGAAGCTTGGATTCATTCAATAACACAAAGACCCGCAAAAGTTCGAGGGTTGATATCGTTGGCTGCAGATGTTGGTTGTACGTCATCATTAAGTTGTAGGTCATGTAGTAATGTGATGTGATGGGGGCAAGCTCGGTGCTCTAGAACGGGCTGAGAACCGTTTGTACTTGAGCAGCTGACATTTCTCCAACAGAACGGCGGCAGAGTGGACAATGCTGGCTCGCTTTTGGATCAACCCGACATTATTGTCTTGGTAGTCAACCTCAACACCATACAGCCCCAGAGATTTCAGCATGCAAAGATAACTTGAAAAATGTTTTAGTTAATGCAAACAGCATTTAAAATAACTAAAAAAAACTCACAGATAGGTCACTGGACAGTTTTGTCTCAGTTTCTGATTGTTCGGAGGATAATTTTTGCATTGCGGTTGTCGGCCAGCTTAGAGACGGATTGTGACTCGATCGAGAACTGCTGATTCAACCGACTCAAGTAATATTGCAGCTCGGAGTGGTTGGTAATGATAATGCCCTTGCCCTACATGTCGTATTGTAGCACTCTTTCTCAGGGTTGTAAATTTGGGTGTCCTTGATGATGACAGTATGCACCGGCAAGTTGACTCCCCAAGCAAGTGTTGCAGTACAACCAAGAACCTGTAACAAGACATCGGCGAACAGCTCCTTGACAAGTCCATGATCTTCTCGAGCATGGTGAATACCAAAACCAAAAGGAAGGAGGTTGCACAAATTGCTGTCCTTGATGTTATTAGCCTCCTCGGTTAAAATTTCACGAACAGCAGCATCAGGTTTGACAAACTGGGTGATTGTCTCCTTCTTGACAGCTGAATCGCACAAAACTTTGGTTGTCTTCGCGGTTTCTTTGCCAGTAGTGAGCATAGCGACATTTGTCTAGGAAGGACATAAGGAACAATATATATTAAACGGAGAAAACAAACCTTTCCAGCACCAGTCAGAGTATAATGTAAGATTGGCTTGTCTGTTCCAAATGCAATGGGATAGAGTTGCTTTGGACAGGATTGAGGCGTGGGACAGTGAAGCCGGTTTGGGCCCAAGTAGGCATACTCACAATGAGTACCAAATCCATGTTGGAATGACTTTCTTTTTGGGAGCGGGAACATGGATTTCCTCATAACCCTTCCTCGCACGTTCAAAGGAGCCTTCTGGTAGCTTGCATTTCTTGTTGGACATGAGATGACTGCCCTGGCTGAATATCATACTCTCCAGGTCCGCAGTCCGTTTCGGTTGCAGAGTTGAACCAGGGGCTAGAGTGGCGGTCTTGGGCTGTTGAACGAGGTGGGAGAGAAGAACGATGTATTAGGTAGAGAAAGCACAGGCTTTATATACTACTGCCTAAGAGTCATATGGAGTCATACTAGTGTAGAGTCAGAGAGAGTCAGAAAAGCTACCGGAGTCAGAGAGACAACAGAGTCAGAGAAAAACGGAGTCAGCGTCGGGCTGACACAGCCTCCGTGATCCACCCGGAGTTCGGTCCGTATGGGCAAATTCAAGACATGGGCATGTCATTTTTCTGTTCATTGACGTCCATAGCATCAGACGGCTTGGATCTGCCAGCCTGACGATCCTCCAAAAACTCGCGAAGAATCCAACCCACGCCCCTTTCCCTCATCGCAACCTCCACGTTAACCCGCTCATCAGCATTACTTCGCATGAGCTTTGTGCACCAGACGATGACATCGCGATTTTTGAGGAATCTGGTTGTGATATGGAAGCTTTGATATTCGAAGAGCTCGATCAGTTGGTTCTCGCAGTCGCGCAAACTTGACTCGGAGTCGAGGATCGAGAACGGAGGTTGTTTTCTCGGCAGCGGTGACTGGGTCAGAGTAGATTTCTGCAACTTGACGTTGGACCCAGAATGCGTCGATGGCATGAGGGGAAACAGTGTCTTTGTCGGACTTGTTGTTGGAAGTCATCTCTAATGTCGAACCATTCTTCTTCGTCATCGTCCTGCTCCTCCTTCTCATCGAACACAACCGCAACTCCAACCTCGTCATCCAGTTCCATATTTTTGACGTCGGGGTCCCCCGAGGTCTCATCTTCGGCGCCGTAGTCGGTAATCTTTTTCGAAAGGCTAACAAGCTGCGAGAATTGTTCGTTGTTCACACTGACTGAAAGAATCTCTTCAATCTCGCGCGCTTTTTGTTGAAATCCTTCAGTTTCTGGTTTTTAAGAGTTTCGAGTACCATGTCGGCAGCACTCCAAACAACAACATCTTGCGCCTGGTCTCCGAGGGAAGTGTGGACAGACGACAGGATGAGTTCGTAGACTTCGCGCGTTTCGGCCGTCATGGGTCGATAAGTAAGGCCCTCCACATCCTGGGTTGCCTCGATAATGTCGGTGTACCCAAACCCAGTGGCCTGTGTCTTTCGTTTGGCAGGCTGCTTCTCAGACGCATCTTGGCCGTCGGAAGCCTTCTTTTTCTTCTTTTCGAGGTCCTTGGGCATTTTGCACTGAACGTGGGAGCCCATATCGCGAGGATTGACACGACCAACGAGTGAAGTTGGTGCACCATTTGGCTCCTTGTCGCGACGAGGGAGAGCTGACTGGTCGGCAGTCAACACAAGAGAGGAGATGGCGCCATAATTGTATCCGGACAAGTGCGGTTTCTTGCCCTGCCCTGCCATAAAGGAGTAGCCAACGAGTTATTTGGCAAAGGAAAAGTTTGGCGGAAAAGTTTGCGTTGGCGAAGGAAAAGTTTGCGCGTTCTGTTACGTGCTGAAACAGTATTTGACTCCAGCCGCAACCGCTCGACCTGGCGTGAGGGAAACGATGTCTTTGTTGGACTTGGTCTTTTTGCTCTGGGCAGAGAAGCTGCGAGAATTGCTCGGTGTTAAGTCTTGCGCCAGGTCTCCGAGGGAAGTATGGACAAACGACACGTTGGGCTATCCTGGGTCGATAAGTAGGGCCCGCTCCTTGTTCTTCGTCGTCCAAGACATTTTCGATGTCGAACCGTTCTTCCTCGTCATCGTCCGGCTCACTCTGCTCCGACTAACAGCTTTGATTCGCCAAGGTTGGGTGGATTGACTCGGAGAGGCAACTCAGTTCCCTGTTGAATGGTCGTTGAAAGAGGAAGAGCTGGTGGCGGCGATTTCAGCTCTGTATAGAGAGCTTCGGGATGGAAGGGCGTCATTGATGGGAGAGGGTCGAAAGAGTTTGAAGCGGAGAAGTGTGGCATGAATATGGTGTTTACATTTGCCACCAACTTGAAGAATGATAAGCATTTTTCGCAGAGCTTAGCCCTAGGACGAACCTTTTCTCCAGTCCGTTTGACATCTTGGTCTCCCCCTCACGGTATTTCTGGCCTCGAAGTCCCCACTTTTGATACTTGTCAGCACTGTCAGTCGTGCACCAAGCGACGCAAGGCACTCTTGAGCCACTGTTGGCCCTCTCGCAAGAACCATGGCGCTGACTTCCTCAGACATCTGCGCAACGATACGACTTCAGCTTGGTTTCACCATCGAGAAACCAGAAACAACTGACGAATTTGCCAGGTTTTTCTGCATGTTCTTGTCAAAAACCTCCATGGTTCTTCCTGTAGTCCTTGACTCCTCTGTTGACTGCTTCAAGTTGGCATCGAAAACTGTGCTTGCGGGGCGACAGCCGTTGTTCGAGGCATGACATGTCAGTCTCGATTCTTGCAAGGCTGTTTTGAACTCCAGGCCTGCAGGCAAGAACTTCAACTCGTCCACCTTGTTGGAGTAGAAAGCGCCAGGCGCTTGCGAAGGCCTTGGACGGAGAGGACCATCTTCAAGTTCGGTACTGTTACTAGTATTAGTTGCAGTCTAACTTGCTAGTAAATGAACGACAGAAAAGCATACCCTCGGTGCGCAATAGCCCGAGTACGTGTATGCCGCTAGCATTGGAAAGAGACTGTCGCCACTGTGAGTTGGTGTTGAATGCCTTCAAGACAGATGGCGGTGTGAAGCAGCCAACAAGTCATATGTCACATACAATCGTGCCGCCACCGGGGCCAAGCCTCACTGGAAAGACTTTCGAGTCAAGTTCAGCATTGCATTTGTGTCAAGTATTGGTAGCTAGCGGGTATAGAAGGCGGCATGGAATACAAAAAGCCACCCTTAGGCTTCTTCAGAAACAGCTCGAGTAGTACTATACTCTTCAACATCTGACGAGACCTCCACAACCGCCATCGATACATCAACAATCTCAACCGCAGACAAAGTGGCATTCATGGCACGAACTGTGGTCTGCAAGGAACAGAGGAGACTATTGGCCTGCGATCTCGCCGTCGTCAATGTCTCTTCAGCTCGAACGAGCAGTTGGCGATCAGAGGCCTGCTCGCGGGAGAGTGTCGCCACCTGAGTTCGAAGGTCGACGATTGTGTTGAGGGACGATTCGCGGCTACGAGTGATTTCGATGATAGTCGCCCTGAGATTGGTGATCTTGTTGCTCTTTGCCAGGATCCCTTCCTCGAGGTTATTGATGCGCGTTTCGCTGGCGGCCAGGGTCTCTGCCAAACGTTCTGCGCGTTGGGCTTGTATCTTCAACGCCGCCTCCGCTCTGATAGCCTTCGCCCTCTCCACTTGCAACTCGGCCGCGAAACGAGCCCGCAATTCCTTCTGCGTCCCACTGGCAGCCTCGAGCTCCAGTCGCACAGCTTGAAGGGTTTCTTGCGTTTTGGTAAGGGTTTTGGTCGTCTCGGTGTGAGTCGTGAGCAGGGCGACATGGTCAGCCAGAATAGCTTTCTGAGTTGCCGCAAGCTGTTCGTACTCCCCATTACCAACTGAGTACTCGTTAGCGGGTGGTGTACGGCAAATAATGGATGCCACTACCTTTGCTCCCAGGTCTATTTTGCTCTCGGGTCTCAGAACGTCCGCCTTCCGAAACACTATCGAGCGCGTTAGTCAATCAAAAGCAACACACTAAGTTTTCAACGCACAGACAAGGGAGCAACGATGCAATTGGGGACGCTGACCTGACACTGGCACTACCAGCACTGGCAGTGGCGGGAGTCTGGGGTCCAGCGGGAGTGAAAAGAGCCTCAGACTGACGAGCGTTCATCGCAGCGGGCGTTGTAGGAGCGGGAGTCCGGTTGGGAGAAGGGCGATAACGAAAATCAGAGTAACTAGACACGTTGTCGGAGCTTCGGTGAAAGTCGCCCATGGCTATGCTCGAAGGAGGAGGATGGTACTGGCAGTGGGCGAAAACCATGTCTAAGCTTTTAAAGCAGGATTCGAGATGATCGCAAGCATTGACAATCAAGGTTTAATGCACGGTCACTATGTGCCGAGCCACCGGATCATAGTCGAGGCAACAAGAATCAGACTTCAAGATAGAGCGGCCCGGGACTATTCGGTGATCATTAATCTTCCAAAACACTCTATTGCAGACCTGGATATATCCAGTCAATTATTACTTGTAAAACCCAGACGGCTGCGGACGGCCTCGTCGCCCTGTGGAGAGTCATCCTCGTCACTCTCCTCCTCAGTGGTCTCCTCCTCTGACTCTGAACTACTACTACGCCCATCCACACCTACTTCCTCGTCTTCCTCGTCTTCCTCGTCCTCCTCGTTTATAACACCCTTGTCCATGGGGTCTGGTTCATCCACCTCCATCTCTGCATCTTCTTCCACTGCTGCCGCTGACTCTTGAGGGCTTTCGTCTTGAACTTGAAACTTCTGCGCAACCTTCCGGTGGCCAATTACATCGACATGGTAGCGCATTAACATGTCTCGATCAACAACCCTGAAGAGATAGAGAGATCAGTGAGTGAACCAGTGCTCGTCATTGAACTCGACATACATATTAGCATAATGATATCTCCAATCTTCATCGTGTTCGATTCTCTGGAGAAGTGCAGATTTGGGGAGGTAGTCTCGTGTTCGTCCGTGATGGAATGCAGGAATGAGATGGGATCCTCGTAGAACATCCTGCGGGTCAATAAAGCCAAAAGCGTCTGGACTCCCATGAGGCATGTAGCAGAGACGCAGCCAACGCTTCGCCTGCAGACCACATCGATAATTCGTGTCCCTTTGGAACCACCGAACCCATAGGAATTCCATACATTGAGCCTTTGCTGGCCGGTCGGCCAAGGAGGCATAACAGTGGAATATGCCGATCAACTCTCCGTACCAATATGGGTGAGAGTCTTCCTCGGGGTCTTGCGCATGCACGATAAAGAACTTGCGTGTCCGAGGATTGAGAACGTCTTGATCCCGTTGGACGTCATAGGTTGTGGAATTGACGCGCATGGTGGCGTGAGTGTAGAGCAAATCCCCTTGAATTGCAACACTGATGAGTTCTTCGTCGCTAAACTGCACATCATAGCCGCCATTTTCCATGTTGAGAATTCGGCCGCGAAGATGGGATTTGAGCCGATGTGCAAAATCCTATAGCTTGTCGGAACACGGGCAAGTTGGGCAGCAAGGACGGTACCTTCAGAGCAGGATCCTCTTCATGCACTTCGATATCCTTGAGATAATCAGTATTTGGAATGCTTCATAACACGATCAAGGCTACCATCCGATCTATGGGTGGGCCGTCGCCCTCGCCCTCGCTCTCTGACTGATCAAATTGATCACTTAAAAGGTCTGTGAGATGCCAAAATGTTTGGGTTGAACTTGAAATATAATGATGTTGCTCAGGAGGGACATAGGCACTATATTTTGGGTTGCTTTCTGGTCGCAAGGCCATCTTGAGCCTGCGTTGGCGGTCGTTCTGTCTCCGACGAGAGACGGGCTCCACGGCGGGAGCGGCAGATGAAGCGATCGACTTGCTCTCTGCTGATTTGAAGCGTTTTCTCTTTTCCCACATTCCCTGCATCAATCGCCTCCTCCTTTCGTGGGCAGCAATTTGACCAACGGGGTTTCACTTGTTTGTTTGTTTATAAAAATGTTTGATGAGACGATGCGCAAGCTCGCCCTGGTCCGAAAATCACCAACTGTCTGACTAGCAAAGGGTAAACACCTACATTCTGCGTGGAGGTCGAATCCGTGGTCCCAAAACGAACGATAGCGTCCGGATAGTCCGGAAGCGCGTGGAGTTTGTAGGTGATAAGGTTAAATGGCTTTTCAATTTTCTTGCTCTTCTCTTCCCTTGTTGTCGCGGCTGGGGTCATTGCTGGAGGCGTTGGTAGTGGATGTGGCAGCAGTGGGGATGCGGCAGTGGCCGCTCTCTCTGATTCATTTGTTGCCTTGGCGGCAGAGCTTTTCTTCTTAGCCCTTCGACGTTCTTCTTCGTGGTAGCTCATATGTCTTGATGTCAGCAGTTTCTCGAGCAAATCGCCGGATAGTGGAACAAAGATTGGTGGTGGCCATTCGGAAAAGTTTGATTGACGAAGTTGTGTGCATTCGGAGTTTGGCGTAGCCGTGCCAAAGGGCGAGCTCGAAGCAGAGCTTGTCAATCAGTCCTTGATGCGATGGGACAAGCCCTTCAATGACCGGAAGAAGGCACTGCAACGGTCAGATCTCCCAAATGACTGCCGCTTTGAGCAGCATACCTGGAGGATGTCTTCGTAGTCACGCGCCGCCACATGTTTCAGCTCTGACACGTTATGGCTGAAGGAACAAATCGTGGCTCTACCAAATGTAGGAATCTGACGAAATCTGGGAATAGTTAGCATAAGTGTGGCAATATATCTGTAAAACACGAGCCTTTGATCGAATTCATCTGTTTTCTTGAGAGAATGAAGCATGCAAATGAGATGTACAATGATCGCCTTGGCGACTCCCAGTTCAACCTCGTGTAAGAGGTCTGGAACAAACATGGTAAACAGGTTGAAGGGGGTTTTGATTGTGTCCAGTTTCGAGAATGCATTCTAATTGTAAGTTAGACAAGTGCCCAAGGACGGAATAATTGGACAAACACGAGTGGGTACCCAGGAGTTTTTCTTAAGAATAGCGTTTAGGCTAGGGCCCTTAAGTGAGTTTCCATTACCGAAAATAGCTTTCCTCGCGCTTTCGATGTCCATACGTCGAGGGTGGTCGTCAATGCGAATTTGCGCTCGACGCTTCATGTCGTTGACAGTCCCCGTTTCCGATATCTGCTTCTTCTCAACAAAGCATCGGGGACATGGCCTCCCGCCAAGGCTCTTGATGGTAGCAAGAAGAACTCTGCAAATTTGTTAGACAACATCTCCAACCAGGTATAATATGCCGTACTTCTCTGGGTAATCAGCCCCGTATATAAAAAACGGGGGAAGACCAGCCGGACGATGCCATCCCAGCACTTGATTTTGATACCATTGTCGTAGGCGTCCATGAAGTCTTCGGAGAGAAGGAGTTCCCAGATCGAATGCATCAACTCCCGTTTCAGGTGTGTGTATACCTCGTCTGGCATGTCGCACCCGTATTGTTGCCTGTAAGAATCACGAACGGTGTCAGGAAGCTGTGGATATTCAGAAGAGTTCGATTGAATGAAGATATATGGCATTACCGAAGCAAAATAAGCCTGGTGAAATCCTGCTTTTGATGTCGGTTTCCCGTGAAAGTCTTTTGGGTGGTTGCTGAAGAAAGTGTAACCGGGCCATAGAGACGCTGTGCCGAATTGAGCCAGATGGGTAGCATCTGACCATTCCATGATGGCCATAATGATGCTTTCGATGGGATCGTCGGATGTTTGGGGTGGTGGGGGCTGGGGAATAGCGTGATACGCTTCGAGCATTGCAGCCGATGTATAAATCTCCCCAAATATCTCCTCGTGATTGTCGGGAAGTGGAGGGAGTCCATCCTCGTTGCGTAAAGAACGTGGTGGTGTTGTGATGTCGGGCGAATCGGATGAAGTTTGGGATTCGGGCACTGCCCTTAGAGAAAAAGGTGTTGTGTGGAGTTGTTTGAAGAGAGGTCCTTGGAGAGTTTCTCGTATGGGATCGAGAAGAGGTCGATAGTAGATGTTGTCCACAATGAACACAGGAGCACTGCGTTCGGCTTGATAGCTAACGGGCGTCTCCGAGGCAAAGGCCGCGCTCGTTAAAGCCAAAGATGAGTATAAACGGTACTACGATCGGAAGTGTTCGGACGCTCCAAATATTCAAGTTGGTGCACCTGTGGGTGTAACCATTTGCCTTCTAGTCCTGCAGGGGCAAGGCCACCCAAATGCATTTTCACCTGCACCAGCAGGCTCCTGCAGCTGCAGGAACATTTGCCTTCTGCTCCCCTGCTAAATTATAAGAGTCATTGATAAGGCAGCAAATAGACAATCCAATCAAATAGTGATTGTGCTAAAATAAATGATTATATAATGAAAATAATACTAGATATAATATTCAAATCATCATTTCTTCAGGCCGAAGACCCGTAATATAATCAATAAGGGCTGTGTACTAGGTTTTGCAAGAATACATCCTAATTGGGACAAAAATGATGTAACTCTATATAGTCATCAAAAGTACTGATAGCAATTAAAAATGTTTCCACATTAATCTCATTTAATAGATAGCATCACTCCCATCAATCAAATCACTTAAATAAGCTAAGTAAAATTAAAAAGATTTAAAGATTATATAATCTGAATTCTGGAAATGCCATTTGTCAAATGTCCCTGCAATGCTGCTTTCCTGCTTTGCAGGCAGATTTGCATAATGTCCCTCCTGCAGCTGCAGGGGACATTTGTAAAATAGTTACCGCTATGGCTCGCAGGGGAGGGGTCGACTTTGACCTTGCGACGATAGAGTCTTGCACTTGTGCGATATGCTGGAGGTGGAGCCGTTTGAACCCAGAGCAGGTTCGGTCATGGTTTGTTTTCGCTTCGTCGAGGTTTCTCAACGGGCGCTGACAAAGGTCGCATTTGTATTTGGTTTTAGGCATTGCGGTTTGTTGACACGTAGGTCAGGATAGGGAGACGGTCGGTTCTGAGGAGGACGACTCTACCTCGGCCCAGTAGTAGTAGAGCCGTGGAGGGTTTCCATGGCAGAGTTTGAGGGAACGTCCACCGCTGCGACGTTGCCACTGCAACTTGTTGCAACTTGAAGTTCAAGCTTGAAGTTGTGTCGGAGTAACCAGCTCGTCACGCTGATCCGAATCTGACCGTGCGGCCTGGCCTCCGACTTCAGGCTGAAAACGTTGCGTGTCAAAAATATCAACGCTGATCGCATCGGTCCTTAATCCAAACGCCCCCAAATCGCCGCCGCCTGTCGCTCACTTGCAACAAGCTTGAGCTATATGGACAAACGCCTAAAATGCAAATAGCGGCTTGCAATCTACCTTAATCATGTCTTATTCGTCTCCGAGTCAGGCTTCGCGCGTTGAACCCGGGCCAAGGTGCGTCATACGCTGGCGAGCTCGCCACTCAAGCCTCAAACTTACAGTGTCCCCTAGTAGCGCCCCGCGTCAGGGTCTTACCTTGGCGCAAGCACATCAACAACTACTTGCCTACCACCACCAGCTCAACGTGCAGCACGCCGTTCTCCTCGACCATTTCCGCGCCATTCACCACTCATATGGCCGGCTACAAGCTTCAGCGCGCTGGTGGTGGACTCGAGCTCTAACGGGAGGTGGAGGGAGTTCGCCCCAGGGGCAGCAGCAACGGTGTACTGCTTGGGCAGTTTCTTTTCCCAGGCAGTGAGGCGGCGGAGGATGATGACCGGAGTCGGGCGGAGTCGGAGACGGAGTCGAGGCGGGGGGCAGGAGAGGGTGTGTCTTTCGTTTCGGGCTCATTGTAGGGCAAGGAACTGCATTCATCATACAAAGAGGCAAAACGATTTATAGACGCGAACGAGGGCACACCAGTCACTCGTCGCGGGGACAAAATCCTCTCCGGCCATCGACTCCGCTGCCGTCTCCGATCAACTCCGCTAACATCTCGTCACCGAGTTGTTGGATCACCTCGTCGAGGATGTCCATCGAGCGGACATCGGCGGGGAGGGGCAATCCCGGGCGAGATGGTTTGGGTCGCCGCACCTGAAGCAGGCGCGACGAGGGGCACCCCGAGCCCTGGTGCGATCCAACTCCATAGGGACGGGAGCTGGAGGCGCCGGAGCGGGGCGCGGGCCGCGGGTGGCACGACCGGAGCCACCGGGCGGAAAGGGGCCGGAGCCGGGATGCGGTTGACCGGAAACGGAGTCCGAATCAAACCGCCAGGCGTCTTGGGGGGCGGCTGACTTGATCAGCTTGGCCCGGACCAGGGCCTCATATTGACGGAAGGCCCGGGTGCGCCAGCTAAGGTAATCCCGGAGGTCCGGGGGTCGTTCGAGGACGTGATTCCGTTATTGATCAAGGGGTCAAGTCCGTGGCGGAACTTGGTCACCTTGACCAGCGCGTCTTCGAATCCGGCGAGGTCCATCAGGTCCTCGAGTCGTCGGTGTACTGGTAGACATCCTTTGTACCCATGTGATAGGCGGAAGTCTCCAGCTTGGAGAGAGCGTGATCTTGCTCGTTCTCCTCGACAAACCGGAGTCGAAACTCGGAAACGAACGGAGCCCCAGGACGGAAACGGAAACGGGGCTTTGCTTCCGTGGCGCTCCGCCCATTGCTGAGCGGGTCCTTCTGCCATAAACGACATGGCATAGCGGACAGCCTTTTCCTCGCTCGCCTCTCCGTTGACCACGAAGGCCTCAGGGGCAAGGCGGGCGTAGGTGCGGACCGCGTAGAGGAAGACGCGGCCGCGTTTCCGGTTGCCGTTGAAGGTGAACGGGGGGGTTTGGTCGCAAGACCAATTTTGAGGCGAGGTTGATGTCGCCAAAAAGGGCTTCGGAGTCGCCCTGGACCGGAGTCGGAGTCGGAATCGACGTCTCCGGCGATGGTGTTTGGGGTCCGCCAGCATTATTAGTGGCGGCAGCGGCAGCGGAAGCCTGGTTGGTGAGTAAAGCAAGGGCCTCAGTTAGGCTATCGATTTTCGCCTCGAGTGAGTCCAGCCGGGCGTCTGCGGTAGGAGTGACTCCGGACGGCATGACGGGTGCGGGGACCACAGGAGTAGAGGAGGAGGGGACAAGTGGCAGGGGCGGTGACAAGGGCGGAACGGACTTGTACTCCGAGCCTGAGTCAGCGCCAAACCTGGCAATCTTGTCCGGTTGATCCCGTAGAGAGTTTCTTCTGCTGTAAGGGCAACCCCGGAGGCCTGAGATCAAGGTCCTAGCAGGGGAGGATCCGAAGAGTGAACATTGGTAAGCGAATACAAATGAAGCTGACCTAGCAGGGGAGGATCCGAAGAGAAGAAACTCTAAGGGTCCGCCTGCTAGGTAGCTGACTATATACTGCTTGTCCGTAGCTGCCGCTGTCGGGCACAAAAGGCTTGGGCGGCGTCGCAGGCGAGGTCCCAGGGCGACCGTCGGGAGGGCGTTGACGGATCGGTGATTGTGCGGGCGAGATGGAGGGCCGGACCGGAGTCGGAACCGGAGTCGGACCGGAATCGGGCGCGTCTCCGGGCCGAAAGGGGAGGTTCCCCTGACAAGCGTAAGCAATCATCTCTCTTACCGGATTCAGTCGCTCATAATCAGCTTACTAGAATCATGACCAAGATTGTTTCGAAGACCTACCGACCCTCTTCGAAGCGCTTTCCTTCATTTTGTTATCCAGATGACGGATGGGTCCCCGATGCCTATCAGCGTAATCTTTTCAGAAATGTAGCCATCGTCCGAGTAAGTATGCTGTCCTCTTCCGTCGAGGATTTCTGCTGACAACTAAAGGGGATTCGGATGTTACTTGTTACCCGAGTAGACGCCAGTCATCAGCCCAACGACGAGCTTACCCCTGGCTGCCTAGCGACCATCCACAAAATTCATCGAATCACCGCCCATATTGTTGCCTATGTCGTCGTCCAAGTTCGTGTCTAGTTTTCTCTTGCAGATGGCCATTGTAAACGCGCACAGATCCGCATCGCAATAAGCGACGTTCCCCATTGGATGAATACCGAAGGACGCAAATACAAATTTCTTGACTTGTATCACAAGGTTCTCGCCGCTTTCGAAGACGACACCAACCCCGATCTTCATGACTGGGGCAAGGAAACGTTGGACTGGTTGACTGAGTAAGACACATATTCTCTTATTGATTTGCTCTAATCATCTTCAGACTGTAAGGGCAACCCCGGAGGCCTGAGATCAAGGTCCTAGCAGGGGAGGATCCAAAGAGTGAATAGAAGTAAGCAAATACAAGTGAGGCTGACCTAGCAGGGGAGGATCCAAAGAGAAGAAACTCTAAGGGTCCGCCTGCTAGGTAGCGGAACTATATACTGCGCTCTTGACGCGCCAAGGTTGATCGTTGCTCCGTGCAGTATGCCTGCGCCATGTCGCAGGCCAGGTCCCAGGGGGATCGCCAGGCGGGGGGCGGCGATGCGCCTGACGGAGGCGGTGATGCGATCACCGGAGTCGGAACCGGAGTCGGACCGGAATCGGGATCGTCTCCGAGGGGCCGAAAGGGAGGTTCCCCTGACATCACCCCCCCCTTTGAATGCGGCGTCCCGACGCATAGACCGGAACGGAATCGAGTCGAAGGTTGCGGAGGCGATGTGCCGTGGTTTGCCAGGGTACTTACGGTAGAACTCCGCGATTTTGTCCGGGGCGAAGACGCGGTCGAAGCGGACCCACTGGTCGTGCGACGGCGTCGTAGCCTTTCCATCTGACGAGTAATTCAGCCGTTTATACCTCACCCTTGCGTCCAAGATCTCCTCTACTTCCCACTCCGGGACTCCGTCCTCGAGGTCCGGAGGGGGCTGGTCGTAGCGGGCGT